ATCTGTTGTTTATGTCTACAAAAAAAAATTGATAAACACATATCCAAAAGCTACAATTTTTTTTTTCTTTTATTTTTTATTTTTTTAATAGGTAGGATATTTATAAATGAAAAATGTTTGACACCTAAAAAAACTTTCCATAATCCAACTTATAATAATGTGGTCATAAGTGTTAATTTTTATACAAATATGGAAAGAGAATTAATCAAATTATACATTCAACCAATCACATACTCAAACTTTAACTATTTCAAGATGTTATTTCACTATAATTTCAATTAAGATAATCTTCAACCCTTAATATTTTTTTATCGAATTATAATTTGATAAAAATTTAAAAAGATGAAACGTTGGAAATTATTATTTTTTTCATCAAAACTGATGAAAAAAAAAATTGAGATAAGAATGAAAGTTTTTTTTTTTTAAATTGATAAAAATTTAATGAAAAATTTAAAATAATTCATATCAAATCAAATTTTTTATTCAAATTTAAAATTAAATTAGATAAAAAAAAAAGAAAGTGATGAAAGGTTGGAAATATTCTAAAACTTTTTATTCTTAAAGACTAGAAATTCGTGTACGTATTATATTTATATTGTATTTTTAGTTATGAAATTAAAACCAATAGAAATGTAATTTAAATTATTGGATTAATAACAAAATCATCATATCAATTATTATTAAATATCAATTCACTTCACATTTAATAATAAAATTGTATATTTGTCTTAATTATAATTTTTAAATTTGTCTATTTTCATAACAACAAGAGGTATATCATAACTCATGTAACCTCATTTAATTAGGTTTAACTTTTTTTTATTTATTAGAAATTATCAAAATTACACTAAATAAATTTATATAAATTGTTTTAATTTTTTTAACTAATAATTTAAAAAGTTATAAATATAAAAAATTAACTTATAAATTTCATGTATATCACAAGACAGTATATCAAATTATTTCAATATATTTATAATAATTTTTTTTTAATTTATAAAGTCTCGTATAGTACGAATTATTAGTAGTATATCATATGCGAGAGGGATAAAAGGTTCCCTCGGTATTAAATATTCATAGTCAGGACATTGAAACCAAACATGTGTATGACAAATCCATCCACAATCCCATAATATTACCAATCCACATATTCCATGAAAATCATATACGAAAATCAAACACGAGCTCAACTAACTACCAATCCCTATTTTAAAAAGACTAAAGCTATATTGATCAATTAAGATATCAATTAGTATATTAACAAATGATATAGCATAATTTTATTAGTTTTGAGTCTTCATAATTTATATAATAACCGTGATTGGTAGCTCGAAACCCAGCCCCCCGAATAGCCCGAATTTGAAAAACAACATCGTTTTTGTATTTTTTTATTTTTTTTCAATCAGAAACGAAGAAGAAGAAGAAAAAGAAGAAGAAGAAGAAGAGAAGGAAGAAGAACTGGAGGGGCCATCAACCACGGGAGAAGGAAGAAGAAGAAGAAGAAGAGAAGGGAGGGGCCATCAACCAGAGGCGGAGGCGCGGCGGAGGTTGAGCTACTGCGACGATTGGCCTGCGACGGAGAGCTGCGATCGGCCGATCTTCTCTCTTCTCTCCCTCTCTCTCTCTCTATTTCCCTCTCTCCTCTCCTCTCTCTTTCTCCCTCTCTCTCTCTCTCGCCTTCCCCCTCTTCATTTTTCGGGCTGTTCGGGGGGGATTTCGGGGGAAAAATCTTTGTCCTTTATATAATAGGTATAGTCCATAATTTTAAAATTTGTAATACTATAATATATGTTGATACACTAATTAATATAGTAATTGGTGTATGTAACATCACCGTTTCAAAAAATATTATATTTCATTAAATAATTATAGAATGCAAAATAAATTAATGCAAGGCTTTTAGTTATTAATTAATGAAAGAGATGTAGAGTAGAGGGAGGCAATAGGTGAAACAAAAGAACAGGCAGACCGAAACCTTTGTTGGATATTGCGTTATGTCGGAGGCATTCACGTTTTTAATACAATGAATTAGTAGTGCAAACCAAATCAAACCACTTTTTCTTCCAAACCTCTCGTCTCTTGTTGTGTTATTTGCTTTGCAGTTTGTGATGAACATTCATTCATTCATTGTTGCTGGACAGGGTCCACATCAAATGACCTGTTTGGTTTTAACATATTCAAAGAATAAATCAAGTACTACTTTAACCAGTTCCAAAATGCTGGCCTACTTGTGGCCAAGGATGTGCATCAGCCAGCTAGTCCGTCCAAATTAACTCGCCTATTTCAACTCACTTTTTTCAAAATTTAGAATTTAAGTAGATACAACTAGGCTGAGATGACATTTTAGGTCTATTTATTAAATGGGTCGGATTTTGAAATGTCAGTAGCAGCCTGACTCCATTATTAATATATATATTAGTACGGTAGAAGATGAAATTATTTTTCTAAAGAAAGCTAGATGATGTGCACAATTCTTTATATTTTGTAAGGAGAAGCCAAACGTCAGTAATTACTTCCGACCAAGGTACGTAGGTTAGAAGACCCTTCGATGATCAAATCAGTATACTGATCAGTCATAGTACATAAATATAAAAAAAGAAATATTTCTAATGTAGAAGCTAATTAAAATTGAATATAATTGGATTGAACTAGATTCACTTACTTGTCCTCTTATGCTTTACTTGCTTATCCATTTATAGCTAATCGGGTTCAAATTTCATTTATCGGATCTTGTCTTGATCGACGGGTTCTGCCTATACCTGACTTTGGTTGGATCTCTATTGCATGGACTGCTTGGATGATATCAGACGTTAGTGGCCAGCTCGCCCAGAATTACGTCTGTAGGATCAATTTGATCGGACAACTTTGCCCCTACTAGGCACACCCTATGCCTCTGTCTTATATGTTTTATACTTGTTATCGCTGAATGATTTCTAATCTGACTTCCCTCCTTTATTTTACAGATCTACCTTCTAGAAGATTATCACCAAAGATCCTCAAGTATATTTTTTTCCTAAAGTTTCCTAAAGTGGTGTATTGTGTGGTTGGGATTTAATGCTGAAAAATTGATGTGACTTGTCATTAAATCTCAACCACACAATGTACTACTCTAGAAAACTTTAGGAAAAAAAAAACTCTAGGGGATCCTTGCTCGAAAATTATCTTTTATATTTTTTTTTTTGTCTCGTCATGCGCCTTAACTGAATGTCAAGTTGCTACCTGCTGCCCTTCGTGAGCTACCAGGTACGAGTTTGGATTTACTACTTTTATTTTGGGCTACTGTGATTAGGTTTGGACTTGAACTCATTTTTTTTTCCTCCACAAGTATTTACATATGTATAATTTACTCGGTTTTATTTTTTATCATTAAATAAAAAAAGATTCACTTAATATAGAAAACATACTTAATTAAATTTATACTTAAGATGTAATAGTTAAATATTAAAATTTGTATAAACTGAAGCTACAAAATTATTAATTTTTATTTAATATATGAGTTTGTCGGACAGGCTTGGAATTGTATTACCATTTTAAGGCCGTCCAATCTCAAAAATATAATTCCATACATAATTCCATGGCCATGACGTGGTTTTTTTTTTTTTTTTTTTGTATTTCTTAACTTAGGCCTAGCCCCAACTTGAAATTTGTCCACCCTTGTGTCCAGTCTAAGGCTGCAAATGAATCGAACTATTCAAAAACAAGTTCGGCTCGTTTATTTTTATTTAAATTATATAAATATATATAAATAATAGTATAAATACAATATTTATATATTAAATAATATAAATAATATTTTTTAAAAAAATTATCGAGCCGAGTCGAACCGAGTTTGAGTTTCATTAATGTTAACAAAACGAGCTGAGCCGAGCTTAAGCCCAGTTTCTTATCGAGCTAAACTCAAACTCAATAAACGAGATCGATAAGTAAATGAGTCGAACTCGAGCTCAACAAAGTTCGGTTCAGCTTCATTCGTTTGTAGCCCTAGTCCAGACAAACCCTGTACAATTTTGTTAATGAACCCTAATTGGAGGAAATAAAAAGCACACTCTTGCTTTATTACGTTAATGAATTAATGAAAATGTGATATTATAACTTACTGACAATATAGGAGAAATTATTATTCAGTGTAAAAAAAAATACATATTAATGATAAATTTTATGATCATTAATAATTAAAATTTTAAACTTTTTCTTGTATTTATAAATAATTTTTGGAAACACCAATAAATTGTAATTATCTCTAAAATATAAGTGGTTGATTGACACAATTGAAAATATCTCTAAAATATAAGTGATTGACTGTCACAATTGAAAATTAAGAGGCAATAGGAGGAATTTTGATAAAAATACAAAGATGTTAGATGTCAATTATAGGGTGTGAACAAAAGGAAAAAATGAAAGTGAAAAATCAGAAATAATAGTACCAGAATCTATATGAAAGTTTTAGTAGTAGGTTGCTAATAGAGATATTATAGGTTATTGTTAATGCATTACACTGTATATCTTCAACACACACACAAAAAAAAAAAGAGGAGGAAATTACAAAAAAAAATAAAAATTCTAGGGTTTGAATCTTATAGTAAAATAAATTTTAAGTTTTTAATTTTGTCAATTTAAATCTCAAATTTTGAATTTTTTTTTTTCAATCTAATCCATTTGTCTATTTTTATTAGGTAAAATAGACAAAAAAAATAATATTTTAATCATTAAACTCAATAAAAAAAATAACATTTTAGACATTTTATACCTATATTGGTTTTAATGACAAAAATATTATTATTTTTGTCGATTTTACTTAATGAAAATATGTTGATGATTTAGATTAAAAATAAATAAAAAAAATTTAGGATTTAAATTAATAAAATAAAAAATTCAGAATGTATTTTGTTACAAGGTCGAACCCTAGTTTTTTTCTTTTTTCTTTTTTGGTTGCAATTTTCCCAAAAATTAAAGAGATAGATATCTTCAAAGAAATATGATTTTTAGGGGAGAAAAAAAAAAGGGAAAAAAAGAAGCAATATTACATACACTTGTGATTTACAACTCAAAAACTGTTGGTACATTACCCTTTTCTTGCAACACAAACCTTAATTTCTCTCTATACATCAATTTTACATAACCACAACAATCATCTTTTTTTATTTTTTATTTATTTTTCCTAGGTATCAGAATGTTCCTCATTCTTGTCTGAGTGATATAACTTCAGAGTGACAATTACATTCTTACCATGTGGGAGAAGTCTCAACATCCTTCCTATCCATGTCTGCAAATTTAAGCTAATTTTCAACATCTTTCTCTGAGCTTCCATTCCTCCTATGAAACCACTTTTGGGGTTGTTTTTGGCTTTTTGTCACTAATTGCAACAGCAATGTCGTTTGGGAAAAGGTCTACAAGCACAAAGGCATGGAGAATGGTAGTTACAAGCAGGGATGTCACGGTGACCGTGGCAATGGCACAGAGTGCGACCGATAGAGATTTTGTTGCTATGTTTGTGTAAGAGAGGGTTCAAGAAAAGAGTTGGAAAATTCGAAGATCTTCAAAGATCCTTGAAGAACAACTTCGAATTCTCTAGAATATGATGAGAGGCTTAGATTCTTCAATAATCTCAACTTAGGAACACAACAACAAAGGAGATGATGGAGATAAGAAATTGGGTGAAGAAGAAGGAAAAATGGCTAGAGAATAGAATAATGGCAAGGCTCTCCCATTGATCTCCCACTTTCACTCTCAAGGTAATTTTAATCATTAAACTCAATAAAAAAAATAACATTTTAGACATTTTATACCTATATTGGTTTTAATGACAAAAATATTATTATTTTTGTTGATTTTACTTAATGAAAATATGTTGATGATTTAGATTAAAAATAAATAAAAAAAAATTTATGATTTAAATTAATAAAATAAAAAATTTAGAATGTATTTTGTTACAAGGTCGAACCCTAGTTTTTTTTTTTTTTTTGGTTGCAATTTTCCCAAAAATTAAAGAGATAGATATCTTCAAAGAAATATGATTTTTAGGGGAGAAAAAAAAAAAAGGGAAAAAAAGAAGCAATTACATACACTTGTGATTTACAACTCAAAAACTGTTGGTACATTACCCTTTTCTTGCAACACAAACCTTAATTTCTGTCTATACATCAATTTTACATAACCACAACAATCATCTTTTTTTATTTTTTATTTATTTTTCCTAGGTATCAGAATGTTCCTCATTCTTGTCTGAGTGATATAACTTCAGAGTGACAATTACATTCTTACCATGTGGGAGAAGTCTCAACATCCTTGCTATCCATGTCTGCAAATTTAAGCTAATTTTCAACATCTTTCTCTGAGCTTCCATTCCTCCTATGAAACCACTTTTGGGTTGTTTTGGCTTTTTGTCACTAATTGCAACAGCAATGTCGTTTGGGAAAAGGTCCACAAGCACAAAGGCAGGGAGAATGGTAGTTACAAGCAGGGATGTCACGGTGACCGTGGCAATGGCACAGAGTGCGACCGATAGAGATTTTGTTGCTATGTTTGGAACCTTATTTGAGTACTTGATGGTTGCAATGGCAGCTCCGGTCATTGGGAAAGTGTAGGCCCACCAAGCCAAGGAGAACCTACGTATGCCGATAAATGAACCTCTGAAAATTAAACCAAATGGGGGATGGATGATAAGTGATCAAAGATACAAGTAATACTATACCTGAACCCTCGAAAGAAATTGAGTCGAACAGTCTGTAGAACACAAAGAAATGAAGCAGACACATTAGTGATATAACTGTAAAAAAATGAAATTTTCCAAAAAAGTGACATGACATTGGCATAGCTCCACTGTGAAACTAACACAGGTTCTACTTTCTTGATTGAATGTTTGACTGGGTTCCAAATTTCCAAACCAAACGATCCTAAGGTCAGGCCGGGTCAATTGGTTCTAGTTTTGCACAATTTCTTGCATCCCCAATGAACAATACATGTCATCCCCAAGTATTTATTCGAACAACAAGCTCCAAATTCTCTCATTGCATGACGCAACACCAGTTGCGGACTCTACTTTGTTTAAATTCATATTCAGAATCTGCCGTGGCTTTTTTTTTTTTTTTTTTTTTGGGGGGGGGGGAATAAAGGCTAGTTTGACAAAAATAAACACAATTATTATTAGTATTATTTTTTTAAAATTTCAAAGTTTATCTTTGCCCAAAAAAGAGAAGACCATATGAAAATTATGACCAAACTAGTTTTAGTTTTTTTGGGGAAAAAAAACAAAACAGAAAACAGATTATTCGAAACCAAATAAGGTGAAGCTAACATGCTTTCTTTCACAGATTATGGTAGCTTCAGAGAGAGAGAGAGAGAGCCTTGCAAAGAATGTCTCAACTCCAAGCTAGATAATGCTTCATCACTGTAATAAAATCAGTCAAGCCAAAACCATTTATGCTGTCAACATTTCAATCACTACTCCAAATAATGCTATCCCTCAAAAGGGACCCTATTGTGCCTCGCAGAGATTGAGAATGACAATGTCAATAGATGCTCATTCATGCTACTAAGTTGCAGGAAAACTAACCAGTGAGAAATAAAGGAACAAGGCAATAAAGTAAGCAATCCGCGACCCATAGTCAAGGGAGCCTTGAATCGTCGCCCATGCCACACAAGCAACACTAGGCGCAGCAACGAACAGAAAGAAAACCGGATGGAGCTCCTTCGGGAGTGTCTCATTTGTTGGAAGTCTCTGATAGAGTGTTACAAATAAGACTGTATAGTGAGCCAATCCAACAGCAAAGAAGAACATCGGTCCTTCTTTTAGCCCCATTGATGCACCCAATAATGCCCCCACAAAATTCCCAACAATCGAGAGATGATTTGAAGGATTGGCCACTTTTGAAAGCCTCCTTTGTCCTCCTGACATCCACTGTCCATAAATTTTAATCTCTAGACAAAATATTGGTGTCATGAGAACATACCAGAGAGCTGGATGTAATTTTTGAGCAATAGATGGTGGAACTCCTAGAGCTAAGAACAAGAAAGATAGCCATGGGGCAAAGAAGAAGTTAATACGAATTGGGTGATAGTACTCATGACGAACCGCTTCAAAGTAGAATATGACTTTGAGGAGGTAGATGAAAGAGACAATGGCTACAAGAGCAACAGATATGCACCACAGCATGAAGTTTACGTCAAGGCTAATATGGAGGAATTTTGTGGAAGCCGAAGTGGCTAAGGTTTTCCACAGAATGGCTTGGCTGCTAACCCCGAGGCAAATAGCAAATGAAGAGATAGGAAAGCGAAGAAGAAATGGCCATTGCTTGTCTTCTGGAAGCAGTATTTCCTCCGAAGCCTGTTAAAAGAAAATTAATACTTATTTGAAATAACAGGAACATATCTAATGATAAGAAGGGAAAATAACAAACATTTCAAAATTCAACAATATTAGACACAACATAATGGAATTCAAAAAGTTTACACAATGTTCATTATTTTTCTAGTATTTTAATTCATTTACTTATATTTGATAAAAGAGCTTCCATCATCATCATGCAATGACTGGTGGTCCTATGATAAATCATCACAAAGGCACCAACACATTAGAATACTTTGTTTAAACGTGCGTCATTTACCATGATCTATTGGCAAACCTGAAAATTATATGTTAAAATGGAAGCACGTACATGCATGATATACACAACGTGGTATCTAATATTCTCTGGAGAAAGTAAAGTCTGGTAGAGAAACAAATAAAAAGAATTTTGCTATACAATGAACACTAGGATGTGGATGGATAGACATGTTTAAAATGTACAAATATTTCAGTATGAAAGCTCCTTGTTTAATCAAATATCAATTTATCATCAGATGACTAGAACTTTAAATCTGTGAAAATTGCAGGATATTTTGAATTAAAAAAGTTTGAAACGAAAAATATTTGAACAAAACACATGTCCTTACTTCCAGAAAAGGGGTAGGGGTAGGAAACACATACCCTGAGGGTATCTAATTCTGGTCCTTCCAAAGCATCAAAGCATCGGCCCACAGGTAAGGTCACCACCTCTACATTCTGCAGAGTATTTGTCTCTGTCCCAGTTTCCCGTGGCTTTCGTCGTAAATGTGATAACTCCCTCTCAAGCTTGCCAGACCAGGTTTTGAAAGAATTAAACCTTTTATCCTTCAGCCTGTCAATCCTTGGATTCTTGGGTGGAACCTCTGGGCGGTTGGGAAAGTTTCCACTTGCAACATCCTCATCAAATGCAGTACCTGCGGGTGTTGTCTGAGAATGAAAATATTCCTGTTTAATGCTAGCAGTTGGTGTAGCAGAAGAAATTTCAATATCATTGTTGAAAATCATTCCATCATGATCTCTAAATAGAACTCGTTTAGTGCTCTGTAAGTGAACTTCCATAGGGGAAGAGGGCATGCTGATACAAACAGAATGATCACTCTGGCTTTGGACAGCAGCTGTTTCGGTTCCCTAGTGTAGCAATTCAAGAAAGTATTGTTACAAGTAAAAAAAATCCACATTCTAGAGTTGGTATCAGAACAAGTAAAAGGTTTTCCAATTATGCAAATAACAAAAACACAATACACAACTATATATATTGCCAACAAGCAACCAGAGCAGATACATGCTGGCAAATAGATTTTTCACCAGCGAAAAAAAAGGATTGGACTGTAAAATTAAATGCATCACCTGAAATGCTTTAGTTCATTTTTTTTTTTTCTGTTGTTTATTTATTTATTTATTTATTTTTATTTTTATTTTTTTTTATCATCCTTTTGTCCACAAGAAATGAATTAGATTAACCACAGAGATGTTGCTAGGGCAAATTCAGATAACTATTAGAATCTGCATTAGAATTTCCTTGTACAAATTTTCCAATTTAACTAATTTGTTTGAAACTTCACTATCTCTAGAAATATTCACATTTGAAGTATTGCTTAAACACCCCCTTTCCTCGTCTTTTGAGATTTGACTGGGTTGAATCTCATTACAGCAACCTCCACCACTGTCCCAACTGGAAATGTAAATAAGTACATGCTGTACCTTAGTTGGGAATAATACTACACTAAAAATCCTTCTTATGTTTTTTTTCTTGTAAATTAAAGACGCCGATGCCTCTTATGTGGAGGAGGGGCAAGGCGAGGGAAGATAACATACCATAAAATGGCATAAATTTTTGCTCACCACAAAAAGTATAATTTTCACTTTAGGGTGCACACCATAAATTTTCCGTTCTTTAGCATAACACACCACAAACATTCGCAAATAATTTTCACTTTAGAGTGCACACCATAAATTTGCCGTTCTTTGGCATAACACACCACAAACATTCGTCATTTTCACCACAAACATTCGTCATTTTCACCACAAAAAAAATTGTCAACTTTCATATAATGTGCCATTTTTTAGGGGTGCACATCATAGATTTCCCCATAGAAATACGTAACAAGATTCATTTCAATTGTAACAGAAGATCTTGAAGATTGATGCTGCCTAGTTAAGTTCATGCAGTATGAAGCCCAAGATTCCAAAGTCTTACTCACAAAGCTGATAGTATTACCACAACTTATATCTATGAAGACAGCATTAAACATTTAATTTCACCCTCTACATCATTTATAATAAAAAAATGTTCTAGAAGTTTATGGTAAGTGGTGGTAAGTAAATATTTTGCCAATCATATTGCGTCTAATTGTTCATCATGACATGCTATGCCAGCACTTCAACGCTAAACCAAGCTAAGGCACATAACTCTGCTGAAACAAATGCAAGTTATGAGCATAACAGAAGGACCAGGCCTTGTCATGAACTATCTCCATCTTGACTCATGAATGCACCAGAGCAAGCTCAGGTAGCTTGGTTCCTATTCAACCCAACACAATATATCCTTCAAAAGACCACAAATCATTACAAATACATCACACAAATGAAGTTCATATTATGAAAGCTTGTATGCTAGACCTATCAAGACAATTCAAAATCTGAACAATGAGTACATTCCCTCTGCGTACAGCGCAATATTTAAAAACTTACTGTAGCTGAGGGACTGAAAGAATGAAAGGCATTTTCTTGGAACTGATTATCCACATGTTTTAGCTCTTCAACACTATCAAAGCCAGCCACTTCATTTGCAGTAATAAATTTGATGAGCGGTGGAAGTACTTCAGGAGAATCCTGCTTTGACAAAGCCATATCTCCACTGCTTTCCATGATGAAGCAACTATACCTACAGCTGTAAATAGTTGAATTATACAGGGCTCTTGCAACTTAGATGCGATGAGATAAAGATTGGAAAATCTTCAGACCAGAAGTTAAATTCTCTAGAAAAGTGGCATAACTCGATCATCAAATTCACATGACATTACATATGTAGAAAAATAACATTTCTAGAAAAAGCAGACAAACAGAGCAGATATGTTGAAGCAACTGGAATGAAATGAATCAATAAGATCTTTTTAACTGTTTTGGGACAACTTAAAGAAGCAGAGATCATTGCACCAATGAAATAAGTTGTGTGCCTAGATATGGCAAAGCATAATTCATTTTTGTCATATGGAGACAAGACAAAAAAAAAAAAACACCAAAAAAAAAAAAAAAACATAACCAGATATTTGCATACCATGCCAAATTGACGAGAGCAATAGCACATACAAAGAGACAGGTAATAGATATATCCTCACATATAGTTACCATGCCTTATCTAATTTTGAAATGTGATATCTAGCTCTAAAATCTCATTATCAAATCAAAACAACTGATCTTTTACTCCATAGAACCATGTATTTGAATCATTGGTAATTTGTTCTTAAGTGAAAATTCTCTGTTTGGTTTAGTTTCCAAATCTATTTTGTGAAAATTTTTTTTAAAAAAAACTAAAAACTAATATGGTGAAATAAAATGAAATTTTCAAAAAAAAATTCAACAATTTCATATCATTTTCAAACTAGTTTAGTGTTTCTTTTGCCAAAGTAATTTTTATTATGTTCAAAAAAATTTCAAAACACATTTTGAAAACTAAACCAAACAGAAAACTACATCTCATTATCAAGTCAAAACCACTGATTTTTTTTACTCAATAGCACTTCATGTATTTGAATCATTGGTAATTTTTTATTAAGTGAAAGATTGGTTTAGTTCTCAAATCTATTTTGTGAATTTTTTTTGAAAAAACTAAAAACTAGTTTGGTGAAATAAAATGAAATTAAAAATAAAAAATAATAAAAAAAAACCTCATCATTTCCATATTGTTTTCAAGCTAGTTTGGTGTTTCTTTTGCCAAACCAGTTTTAGTATTTATATAATAAAAAAAAAATCAAAAAACAGTTTATTTTCAAAAAAAAAAAAAAAACTCATCATTTCCATATGTTTGTGTACGGGGAGCAAATATTCCGCAGAGCCTGTACTCCTTTCCACCAAGCTCCTTGTCTGTCCGATCGACTTGCGAACACAACGGTAGTGAGCTACCCGGCGGTGTGTGGCCGGAAAACCCCTCCGACGGTCAAGTTAGCACACACTCAGGGATCTAGAGAGAGAGAGGAGAGAGTTGAGTGTTTAGGTCGTTCTCACCAAATTATGTTCCATCCCTAGCATGGGGGACGCAGACTCGCTTATATACTTTCTGCGCCCAGATCTGCTCCCATTAGTCTCTTGACACGTGGTGCTGCTCTCCCATCTATCACCACAAATCCTGCAATCACCACCTAACCAAATCGTCAGGCTATGCTAGCGAAGCTCGGCAGACCGGTGGAACCACCTCGGCCTTTCACGACCGCGCTGCGCAGCGTACCCGAGTGCTCCATTCGCTGAACTCCATACAGCTGAGCTCGGTAGCATTCCGGCATAACCGAGCTAATCGTGCTTGCACAAAACCTGGGTAACAGAAGCCTGTCTCGGCAAAGGTGGACCTCGGGGATGGGCATCGACCGAGCAAGTTCCAATCTGGGGAAGCTCGGTCCAAAACATGAGACCGTCCTCAGGCCCTGGCCACGACCGAGCGAGATCAGCCCCGGGTAAGCCCAAACTTGCTCGGCCCCATCCTATCCGGCTTCTTCCACGGCCCAAAGCCAGACTATAAATCTCCCTCTCAATTGCCCCTTAATTCTGTCCGCAAAAGCGTGACTGGGATTACATGATCCGACCGAGGTAGATTCTTCCTCGGTCCTTAACTTGCAAAGCCTCAATCACGCTAAATCCTGATCTCGGTTTATCAGTTTGCTCGGCTGACGCCTCGACTCGCCTTCCTGTCTCTTCAATTCTGACGCCGCCGTCGATTGGGACACACGTCAATCATTTATTGGCCCTCGAGCAGCCAACCCAACTGTCCCTTCATATTCAAATTTGGGCGGCCTTTTCACTCCTATAAACATGCCAATCCTCCCTTCACTTTGTTCTTACTGACTCTCCTTCATTCCAGACGTCTTTGAGCTAAAGTGCTTGACCTCCATTCTTGTTCTTCTTCTTCGTTCGTGCTTGAAGAGGTAGCCTCTGCCTCCAAATTGGTAAGTTCTTCGAATCCTCTTTGTTGCTCTCTTTTTTATTTGGTATTTCACATTCTAGGGCATACAGTCCATAGGTTTTAGGATATACCCCCCCAAAGACCCTCTTCTGCCCCTGTTTTTTTCGCTGTTCTTCAATTCCAGTGATGAACACAAGAAGATCTGGAGCTGGTCGGGCTCCAGGTCTTCGTTTGATCCCAAAAAACACCTAAACCGAGCAAATTGCAAGTTTGCAAAAACCCCTGTAGAAACCGAGGTAGGAAGAGGACTTGAACGCTCGACCGGGCTAACATCTGGTCCGCTTGAGCGGCCGAGCTCCTATGTTCACCTTCGTGACCGAGGTGGTCTGGTACTCTACCTGACCGAGCTAAAGTCAAGCTCGTTTTGCGCGACCACGCTCCCGCTTACACTTACTCTCCTTTTCTTGCAGAGTCCAAGGGGACCACACACCAACACCGAGGCTCTCAAAGACCGAGCAGCCACCAAACCAGAGTTTGTGCCAAACCACCTCAGCCGCGCTAAAACCAGGCGGCCACACATGGGGCACTACCGCTTCCTGGTCGACACGCCGGTTGCTTTAGCCGCATTCCGGGAAGAATATAGTATCCCAAACGACGTTCACCTAGAGCTCGGTGCCGAGGACATGACCCCGTGGGGCAGATTAGACCAGTGCCCCTTCACCGTGCTTTCTATCATAGAAGGTGGCCTCCACTTCCCGGTTAACCCGTTGATCTGCGAATTATTGTGGCTCACCGGGCTAGCTCCAACCCAGGTCTCAACCAACACCTACTGCATAATTAACGGGATCCACGAGCTAAACAACCGGCTAGGAACCAACTTAGGAATAGCCGAGATACTTCGCCAATATACCCTCGGGCATACAAGCGATGGTCTTGCCTATTACTTAAAGATCAGACCGGGCAATGAGAAAATAGTGACCGGTACCCCAGACAAGGACTTACATGACGACGACTTTTTCTGGGTGTCCAGTAATTATGAGACAGCTGACGTGTCGGGTTGGTTTATCAGCAAGAATTTCGGCGAAACATGTAAGCCGTGCTAACTGCTCGGTTAGATTACTTTCTTTGACCATTTTGTACTAATGTGCTTTGTTCCTTTCCTCTTTGCAGCGATCAAAGCTTTGCAAGCTAACTATCGTTATCCCAACGAAGCATCCATCAGAACCGTGCTTTGCTACCGCAACCAAGATTGCCACGAACTCCTCGGTTACGTGCCAACTTACAGGTACTCAGCTCCACGCCGGAGTAAGGTTACAGACTTCCTTCGTGCACCATCTCCCCCTCCTGATCCCACATTGCCGGACGTGCCACTTATCCGGTTGACCAAGGCAGAAGAGATGGCCAAAAGAAGTCGCATCAAAAACCTCCTCACTGCTACCTCCATCGAGCTACCGATCATCCCACCTTGCACAGCCGTTGCCAGTCAATCGAGCGGGACCGTAGTTGCACTGGCATCTCCTGCCGTCCGGCAGACAAGCAAAGAAAGCCGCCGGGCTGGAAAAAGGCCACGTACCGACCCCTCTGCCGAGCTAGTTGCGGAGTTGAACACCGAGCAACCAGCGGTGACAACTAACCCAACATCGCCATGGAAGCTACAGCTCAAGCACCGGGGTAAAGAGATCCCGACGACTGCCTCGGTCAAAGGTGACAAGGAGCATCTACTCACCTTTGACCTAACCAAAGCCTTGCTGTTACCGAGCGACGTGGTAGGCAGCGACCACGTACCGGACACCCGGCTGGTAAAGTCCTCGGTCAAGTCCATGACCCGGGTAAGGACTCTGCGTACTTTGGTCAAATGTTTCCAAGTGTTTGCTCGGTTTTCTTCCTCTGATAAAGTTTTCTTCTTGCAGGCCATCCAGAAACAACATTTGGTGCTGGAGAGGATCCACCGACTCTGGCAGAAGGCAACCGACGCTGCCAGCCAGATTGAACACCTTCAAGCTGAGCTCGGACGATCCAAGGCTTCGTTGGAGATAGCGAATTCTGACAACTCCAGGTTGCTCGGCCAGCTTGGTGTCGCCGAGCAAGAAAGGGACGCCATCTGGACCGAGCTGGAGGCGTTAAAGTAGTCAAGGAAGGAGGAGCTGGAGGATGCCAACAACGCCGATTTCAAGGAGGCTGAGGAGAACTACACAAAGCAAGTCCATGCCACCCAAGACATCTTCTTCAAGGCGGACTGGAAGGCTGCTTGTGAACAGCTCGGTCAAGGATCTGGGACCAACATGTTTGCTTCTCCCCCAGCTGCCTTCCTGCCGACGTACCTTGTGCCATATGCCAACGACATCTGCAGCGCGTTGCAGGCTGAGGCCGAGGAAAAAGAAGCAGAAGATGCCGAGGAAATGCCGAGGGTGACAACCGCCCAAAGCAGGCCGGCCAGAAGCAGACCGGTGTCCAGAAGACCATAACCACGGTCGACCTGGAGGCGACCGCGACCGGGGATGAATTCACAGACCTGTCCCCCTTAGTTTAGTTGTCTGTTTTCTTTCTTTTTTGTTTGAAAATGTAATCGGGCTAGTGCCCCACCTTTTGTAATGCTATTCCTCATCAATGAAAAGTTCTATTTTCGTCAAGTGTTTGCATTGTGTTTAAGCTAAACAACTTCAGCCGGGCAAACGACCTTGGCTAGACAAACCATCGACTCGCCCTTGACCAAATTACCAACTTATTCAACCGGAATAAAACATCTCGGTTGCAATTACAAAGTTACAATCACAAAGTTGTAAAACATCAACTTTTTCAACCGGAGTAAAACATCTCGGTTGAAATCTCGAAGTTGAGTAGAACATCAACTTATTCAACCGGAGTAAAAACATCTCGGTTTCAATATCAAAGTTGAGCGAGCCATTAACTCAATCAATCGGACTAGAACATCTCGGTTAGAATCTAAAAGTTGAGTATATCATTCACTCGACCAACTGGACTAGAACATCTCGGTTAGAATCTAAAAGTTCAGTATATCATCAACTCGACCAACCGGACTAGAACATCTCGGT